ATAGTGGTCTAGGAGTCTAGCAACTGCATAACCACCATAACCACCCTCCGCATCGGACTCTTGTTGAGTTTCAGGACATCAATGCTGGCACAACTCCAGATTTCGCAAACCATTGGGACTAGGCCCGGCTGCAGCTATTGGTTATCCTGGGCCATCATCGTTCCATGTCTCTTTGAGGACTGCCTTCTTGTTGTTGTTGTTGTTGTTGCTGTTGTTGTTTTTTTTTTTTATGGGGGCTTGCCCATTCCAAAAGCGCCATACAACTGGGGTGAGAGTGGGTTTGTTGATGGGACAGCCATTTGTTGAATCCGATGGTTTACCCTCTGGTAAACATACAAAAAACTATGGGAAAATCACCATTTTGAATGGGAAAATCCACTATTTCTATGGCCATTTTCAATAGCTACGTTAGTTTACCAGAGGGTACCATGATTTTTGCACCCCACTGGCAACTCTGTGAAAAACTCTCCCAAAACTGTCGCTGTTGAAAGCCGCAGGCCTTTATCACAGCCTGGTTCTATCACACGAAGCAAGCTTCCTGGACCGGCTTGCTAGTAGGTTTGCTGTTTCAGCTCATCACTTTTCGCTGGATCCGAAATCTCAAACCAGATCATCCGGAGCATGAGTACCATGCGATGCCCAATGGAAACAAAGCCTGAACAAGGTAAGGCCCCCCAGTTTTAAGTTGATTTATCATCCCGTTACAGTAACATCTAGTAACTATAGTTACATATAGTTACATATAGTTACATATAGTTTCTATAGTTACTATAGTTTGTAACTATAGTTACTATAGTTACATATAGTTACATATAGTTACTATAGCTACTATAGTTTGTAACTATAGTTACTATAGTTATATTTGCCATAAATCCAGTTGCCTCACCTTAAAAATGAGCGCCTCACCTTGGGCTTGCGATGAAATCACCGGATCAACTCGACAGGTTTCCTGACCCGTTGACATCTGAATGGACGAGATTTACCGGAATTGTACCAATACTGATTATTATATGTACAATTATATGTACATATACCGGTACTGTAGATACAGTACATTTACTATATATAATACTGTGGATATACCAGTACTGTAGTATTATATTATTATACTGATAACACATATATACTGTACATTTACCGGTAAATATATATATATATATATACCAATACTGATAATACAAAATATATATTTATACCGGAATTGTACCAACATCAATAAGTATATATACATATGTTATATTATATATAGGTTGTATATGTTGTTGGTTTCGGATTGAAGTACTGTGAGAAATGAAAGTGGCGGAAGAAGCAAACATATTTTATGCCTTCATACTGATGTTGTTGATCTACCTCTGGCATCTTCAAGATGTGTGGGTCTTGGACACAGAGTGAGACTGGTTGGCGGTTGCAAGAATATTTGAGATACCTTCTGGTAACTCAACACAGACCCTGAAAATAGCATTTGTTTTAGTGGAAACTTTTCTTCCAACCCGATATTTGTCAGGGTTTATGTTAGTTTACTGGACGGTGCCTTTTCATCTTGGATAGGATGATTATCCCCATCGACTACTCTTCATTTGGGTATTTCAACATGTTGAAACCACCCACCGGGACACTGAAGATGTACGTCTTTTGGCCGTTGCTCATTGCGTGCGAAATGGCGAAACCGCTGGAGGGAAAATCGTCGGCAGAAGAGGTGTGTCTACATGTTGGACGACCCCAGGGATTGTACGGATCCATACATTCCATTTATCCCAATATATCCAATATCATCTCCCGTATATCCCAGAAAATCTCCAGTGCTTAAGAATCCTGAGTCCAACTAACCATCTAAGACTCTAAGATCCACATATTTCATACATACATACATATATATATATATGGATGTATGTATAATATCACTTGGTATTTCCCGTTGCATTGCTAATTCAAAGTCCTACTGTGGATGGTTGCGAAATCCTGCACCAGTTGATAGGTGGTTAATCCCATTATAGGGTTTCAACCATCCTTTTTGTGGTGCAGGATTTCGCAACCATCCACAGTATCATTGGATATATAGTCAACTAAAACTGGATGTATATAACTAATAGATACTAATAGTGTGTATATATATACTGGTTGGTGGTTTCAAACATTTTTTATTTTCCATTTCATATATGGGATGTCATCCTTCCCATTGACTAAATATATATATATATATATTTATGGGATATTATCGTGGGAATATTTGGGATATGAGGGATTTCCATGGGATATGGAAGTATATCCATATTGGAATATCTATATATGGATAGATACTAATAGTGTGTGTATATACATATATATATATATATATACATTAATATATGGGATATGAGGTATAGCCAACAGCCATGGTGGTTTTTGATGGTGGCCTATCCATGGGAAGATCCCGTTTTCCGGAGAGGTGGCCATGGCCTCCATACAGATCTCAGAGAGAAGGCTTCCAAGGGACGAGTGTCTTGGATGAAGCGAAGCGCTTGGTTCACTGTTGGGGTTTTCATAAGATTTTTCAGAGGAATTAATGGGATTTAATGGGATTTTGGGATTTTAATAAGATTTTCATAGGATTTAAGGGGATTTAATGGGATTTTCATAGGATTTAATTGGATTTAATGGGTTGTTCATAGGATTTAATGGGTCGTTCATAGGATTTAATGGGATTTTCATAGGATTTAATGGGATTTTAATTGGATTTAATGGGATTTTAACTGGATTTAATGGGATTTAATAGGAATTAATGGGATTTTAATTGTATTTAATGGGATTTAATGTGATTTCTCTGTTCATATATCATGAATTGTGTATATATTTTTCTTGGGTTTATACCATTAATGTTCGGCTTCTGTCCATTAATTGAGTTCCATGATTGTAGTAGATCAGTGGGATTTAATGAGTATAGTATGATACGGAGTATGAATGAGTATGATCATTATATTGATTATTGTTTCGAACCTAAAATAAGAAATACGATCATTGTGATGCTAGATTTTGGTTATTATATCCCAGAATCTATATATGATTATCATGGTACCATTTAATGCTTAATGATTCATGTATGAATATTTCCTTTTTAATATCATGCATGGATTATGGGATTTGATATCCATGCCTATCTAGCACAATAAGCATATAAGGATTACACGTATGATCTGCCATCGATCATCATATTACCCTCCTGTAGCCAAATATGGCAATTGACAATCCACCATTAATCGAATATTTTCCCATTAAGCCTGCATGTATATTCATATATGGATTTTATGGTTTCAGATAGAGGTAACCAATCTGCCATACATATGTTATTTTATGATAGTCTGATTATATAGGGATTCATATCATTTAATGTGATTGCAATGGTTATAGTGGTAGTCTAGTTGTTAATGGCATGGGACTGCGGGCTATTAGCATGTTTATAATATATAGGTGTAGTAGATATAAGCCAACAGCATTTTATAACCAACAGACACTATAGGTGACTTAATGAAATGTTGGTTCTACCGATTTATATGTAGTTAGCGTTAGTTCTGATTGCATATTGATATACATACATATATACATATATATACATACATATAAGTATTTATGAACCAGTAACAATTAACATATTATGTATATAACAATGGGTCACTAATCTTTGTAACACGTGAGTATTAAAACAAAAACAAGCAGTAGTGATTAATCATTTTGTGAGTTTATGGTACGTATATATATATATATATATATAGTCAATGGGGTTAATAAACGATGAAACAAAATGAATCATAATTATGGTGATTGCATTGTGGGTTTTCTGATGGGTTCTTTTAACGGGCTTCGGCGATGTGATGGCTTTTTTTTAGTGATAGCATCATTATGATTCTGGGTTACCAATTGTGATATAATTGTGATATATTCCCATCAATATATTATATAATATCAAAATATAATGATTATATATTATATCAAAATGATAATTCCCATCAATGAGCTCTTATTTCATTGTGATATATCTCAATGGGGCTTCCCCATGGGATAGCTGAAGGTTCGCCCTGTGAAGTTTTCGTGGTTAAGCCCTGCCTTCATCCACCAATCACTGTGGGATAACAAACGAAAAGTGGAGATGTGACGAGGATATCAAAGGGGGAGCGATAATTGGGGCTCTTGTCAATGTATATACCAGTTTTTTTTTCAGAACATAGCCAGATCATACCGGTAACTGTTTGGTGGTTTCAAAAGTCAGGGTTATATATATATATATATAGATATGAATGGTTGTATGAGAGGTCAGACAGGGTTTATTGATGGTCTCACCATCAAACAAATGAACGTAGATATTATATCACCATTGAAAAGGAATATCAGCAGCAAACAAGAGTACGTGTCACCCATTAAAACTAGAATACCACTACTGTAAAGATTATAGATCGCAACACAAACATACGAAACTATGAATAGTATATTGTATATCACAGAAAAAGTGTGTGTGTATATATATATATATACATATCAACATATATCACCATTACATTTTTCATCACCAGATATTATGTCACCAATAAATTTGTTTTGGCTTTACCCAATCCCATCGTCGTACAACCTTCATCCAAATGCCAAACCTCGAATTGCGTAGAATGCAAATCTTCGGTAGAACCCAATGGTTGACTAATTTTTGGATATGAAAAACATGGTAGTTTTCTGAAAAAGAAGGGGGAATTGTATATTCACCAGCTGAGCAACACAATTGTTTCCATGTATGTCTGGATCAGCTGAACAGCAAAATTGTTTTCATGTATATTTGGGGTTGGCAAAGATACATTACATGTAGCCATGACTTATTTTTGCTTTTATTGATGCCACTTGGTTAAAGGTGTGCTGGGTCTGTTGGTCATATCCATCGTTTGATTTCTTTATATAGTTGTCCGAAATCTCAGAAAAAAACAGATGTGGATTCGAAACAATGTGGTATTCCCAGACTTGAAGCGAATAGTGTATTCCCAAGTAATTTTCCCAGACTGGTTGGTGGTTTCAAACATGAATTTTATTTTCCATATATGGGATGTCATCCTTCCCATTGACGAACTCCATCATTTTTCAAGATGGGCACATTGCACCACCAACCAGATATACACATATATATATATATATATATTATTATCCCATCATATACCCATCATTGAACCACTATTACTGGTATTATAACCACTATTATTATGATGGTTATTGCACCACCAACCAGAAAATACTATTATTAACCATCATTTACCATATATTAACAATATATTAACCATATATTAACCTTATTACACCACCAACCAGTATTTGTTCATCCATTTTTTACCCAGCGCTACTCGTATCAACCAGCGACAGGTCATGGGAATACTGAACGGCATCTCGGATGAGTCGGGAACCTCAGCGACTCGCAGTTGGCTGCCACTATCTGAAGAAAATGTGTTTCTTTTCGTATAGAAGTATACATATATATATATATATACGTGTATATATATATATAATATACATATCCATATATATATATATATATATATATAGGTTCTAAATATATATATATATATAATATAATATATATATAGATATGTATATATAGTGACATTGTACACTTTTAGGATCAATTAGGTTTTTGGCGCATATTTTCTCGTTGAACTTGATCTTACGCAACAAATAGGATTGTGGGATGCGTCCACCAAGCAATGTGTGAACCAATACACAAGTTGTGGCGATATCGGCAAACATACAATGGGGATGATTGATGCACTTAAACATTGAAAGCGTGACGTGTCTGGAGGTACTGTACCTACTTTTAAAGAGACCAGATGTTTGGTTTTCAGTCACCTCCAAAGTTCCACGTTAATGCATCCCTAACAGTCCAGGTGGCTTCATTCTGGAATCTCAACAGACCATATCTTTTCAGGCAGCAATCAAGGGAAAATTGAAAGCGGAAAACCCCCAGTGAAGATGTTCCCAACAAAAACCAATCAATTAGTTATACCCCACAAAAAATTGGCGTTATCTGTAGGTCATGATATCCTAATAGTCATCCCCAATCATATTGGATGTGATATATATATATATATAACCCAGTTATATGATATAACCCACTGATTAGTCCGATAAACTCCGTGGAACCAATCCATTGAACCAACCAGAGCCAGGTGGAACCCTTCCACGGATCCACACATTGTGATGAGCCGGGAGCTGAGCTTCTGGGTGATCAGATGGTATAAGCCAAAAGATATGAGAATTATTATACCATTTGATATTATCATATTAGCCATAAGATATTATTATAAACCATGGTTTTATGGTTTAAGATGTTATCATGTGATAATAGGGTATCATTATCATCACCAATGGTGTGTACCGTATTATCACATTATAATTACTTTAAATAATTTTGAATACAACCTTTTTTTTATCATTTAATATATATATATGCGTTATATCATTAAAGCTTATTACTTATCAACATGTTCATGGGTAAATTGTAAGAATACTGATGCCCTCCGGTAATCATACATGGAGCATGATAATTCACCATTTATAGATTATTTTCCTATTAAACCCGTAATTCTATAGGGAATGTTCAATTCCCCGCGCTTGATTACCGCAGGGTATAAATCTACTTATACAATCAACAGTATTAATAGTTGGTTGGTGGTTTCAAACATTTTTTATTTTCCATAATATATGGGGCAATCCTTCCCATTGACTAATCTTTTTCAAGATGGCTAAAACCACCAACCAGTTACAAACTTTGATTTTCATGACTCATATAGGTTTGTCTTAAATGTGAGTATCAATAAAACAAGATAAACGGTGATAAAGTGTGCCCGGGCCCTAGCCATTTTGGGAATTACTGATATTGGGTTTCGGTGGTTCTTTTTTTCCCACATGTCTTGTTTTTGTGGTTCTTTCTTTTTCCACATGTTTTGTTTGTTTTGGTGCCTATGTTTTCGCAGTCATGTTCCCCAGTGTTTGGTACCAAGTTTGTATCAATTCCTCTCACGTTTGATGGCAAGAGGAACACCTGCTGGTAAGCAAACATAGCAATGGAGCATCCCCAGTTGTCGATCTAAATTGCCAGAGGGGTACCAGATTTCAAACCATAGCTGTTTGGAGACGAGTCCAAAAAAAAGCCTAATACCATCCAACACCAGAATTTCATTTTTAATCTTTTGTGGCACAACTACTATGCCCATTCAGATTTTGTTTGGGTACCTTCTAATCATCCAACAGCCATTTCCGAAGAAAAAAACATATGGTATCCTATATGGCTGTTTGTATCCCAGCAAATGGGAGATACAAAAACCATATGGTATCCCATGGGGGATATGTAGATCGAACAGCAAATCTCAATCCCTTTGTATCCCCCATGATCCATCCGAGGATATGAAAGGGATAACTTTGAAGAAGGCAAGCGCTGCTGCAAGGCGCATAGTTCCGTGATCCGTCCTGGTTTCATCCCAGTTTGTATGGTTTAGATAATACCTTACTATATTTGTGATCTAGTACACTCATGTACACTCTAATTTCATGTACATCCTCTATACTACAGTCTAATCCTATCTTACCAAGGTATACCTACTATTGTGAAATTTCTGGAATTGATGTAATTATCGCATGGAAATTCCATAAATATCATTGGTAAAATAAAAACATGCAATTGGCTCGATGGTTATTTTCCCTCCAGTAAACTAACAAAAAGATATGGACAATCCAAAATGAAGGAATGTAGATCACTTGAAATCCATGGATTCCATAGCGAACTGTTCGTTGGAGGGCATTTTATCATCATCAACATCCAAAAAGCCAGGGAAATTAGGATATTTTTATGGGTGTAATAGGAGATTCACAGGATTACACCCATTATAATATTTGGTTGGTGGTTTCAAACATGAATTTTATTTTCCATTTCATATATGGAATAATCCTTCCCATTGACAAATATTTTTCAGAGGGGTTGAAACCACGAACCAGGAGTTGTGTGCACCACCTGAGCGATTCCGAACTGCAGCACCACCTTGTTCATGGGAACATGAACCAAACAAATCATGGCGGAATAGATAGAGTTGGAGTATCAATGGGATATATTATTCACTATTATTCATATACTGTATATACATATTTAAGTAAATATATATGTGGCTTCTACTCGCGATGGATGAAACCAAACGTTTCTCATATATACTATTGATCCCATATTCATTGATAATTAACACCACCGATGAAATATCCATCAACAGATGGTTGAGTGACATTAAATTGACATTCTTACAGTATTTTTCTTAGTTGTGGCCCTTGGTGCAAGGTCAGCGTTCGAGTTACTAGTATTTCCTGTCACTCCTGGGTGACCGAATTGATGGCATGTTCTTGCGCACCTGATGGGTCTTCAACGGCTTCAGGAAGCCTTTCACAAGGATATCTATAATTATATATACACAATATTATATAACTAGATAATATATATATAATATACATGTAGCCTTTGGATCCCTTTGGTAATTCAAGAGTGTGTGATGGAAGTCATCACCATTTTTGGTAATCAAAACATATCGGGATCAGAAGCCAGATGTGGATCCAAATCAAAATGTAACGCAAGCACCTCACAAAGTGAAACACGTAGCGAACTGGGAAAAGTCACCGTTTTAAATAGGTATATAAATCATCATAAATCATCTATAAATGGACCATGTTCAATCATTTTCATAGCTGGGCGAAATAACCAGAGGCTAGCGAATCAACCTGCAAAACTATATTAACAGATTCATCTTTTCCATTGCTATGCTAATGAACCAGATAAGACTTGGGAAGCCAAGCTGCAAGACTCCGAGAACAAACGTCTAGATCCAGCCGATCCAACGACCCAAGACAAGTTGATCCAGCCACTGCCCCAGTGGGATTGCAACCATGGATTGATAGTAGCCTCGTCATCAAAAGTGGCTGGAGAATCTGTGGTGGATCTGCCAGCCATGTTTGAGTCCACCTGTGGTATATCTCATTAATTACTGAAATTATGCATGATATTCCATAAAACTCCCAGTGTTGAATTCTTAAGTCCGCATGTTTCATGGTAAAATGCCCAACACAACATAGACATCAAATACCAATGGCGGAACCTCTTCAGAAAATGATCTACATGATGGGTTTTCCATTTGTTTGCTGTTAAATTTTTGGGTTGTGACCCTCCGGCAATTTAACTATGGACCATGGCCCATTCATAGTTGATCTACCTATTTGCAGATTGTTATCCAGCCATCCAAATTCAGGTTTCACAAGGCTCCCACAGTTGTGGCCAGCAATGGAATTATAGATATTTATATAGCTCCTATACAAAAAAAAGAGCTAGAATCAGCTTTTATATATATTATAAAAATTATAGCTCCACCAGAAAAAACAATTATACATCATGAGCTCCAACCCCATTTAAATTCATTTACTAACCATAACTGTTACGACTGGGCCATGGCGGGACCCCATCCCCAGGGGCCCCTTTTGTTTGGTCAACGGTCAGGCTGAACTCCAGCGTCAGTTGGGACTCACGGAGGTGACAACATGCCCGGAGCTGACTGAATGATGTGGAAAGATTCACCATTTTATAGCTGGGAAAATCCACTATTTCGACTGCGTCATGGCTTCAATAGCAAACTGTTAGTCATTACCAGAGGGTAGCTTAGTTATGCTTCTAAGAATGCTTATTTATGCTGAAAAAGTAAATGGAGGTTTGTGATTTTGCTTTTTATAGCTACACCATGGTTTGGAAAGCATGCGATTGACGATTTTAGAGCGAACGGCTGAGAAAATTGGCAATCAATTCGGCAATGGGAGTAGTGTTGTCTTCGACTCAATGAAATTACGTAGGTAAGGGAACCTTCATGTAGAGGCTTTACAGATATCATTATATTGAGCGGTTCCTAAAAGGGAATACCGATAAACCAACGGATATTTTAGATACCCTATTAATATAATATAATATAATATAATATGAAATAATAAAATAGAAAATAATTTAATATAATATAATATAATATATGTGTGAATATCTTGGGAATATCATGAATCATGAACATGGATGAACATCTGGAGGCGTCCTAAGTCATGGGGTTGCCCCCAATTATCCCATTGGGGATCAAACAATGACTTAGTATTGAAAGCTATGATGACTTGGGGATCCAAAATTTTAAGAACCCCCCATGTGTCATGAAAAGTATGACTCTATGACCAAAGTCTGGTGCAAAGAAGTGCGATGTTTTTTTTACATAGTTTCTGAACTGATTTAGATTGTATTATGATTGAACATTTGTACGCATCTTGAATACTTTGGCTTACTCTTGATGAAGTTTGCGAATCATTCAACATGATTGATCGGTTCATTGGTTCCTCTGAGGAGTTCGAGTAGCTACTTATTGGGGATGAGCTAACCATAGCCAATCATTATGGAAACCTACAGTATCAACCAAGTAGGGATCATGGTATTTGTTGCATCATCATCCCCAATGATAGTGGTATAACTATACCATACCGTTACCATTCAGCACTACCCTCTGGTAATTTAACATAGCTATTGAACATGGCCCATGAAAATATTGATTACCTATTAAAGATGGTGATTTTCCGGTTCGCAAAATGTAAACGTCCCATTATAAACCATCAATTTTAATAGGATATCCCATTATAAACCATCCATTTTATATCCATTATACCACTATAATCCCAGTTTAAATGGGCCATTCAATTATATGCCAGATAATTATCCATTATCCCAGAGAGTAACATATTTATAATCCCATTATAATGGGTAAATCTCCGTTTTCCTATGGGTTTTCCTATGATTATACTACAATAATCCAATTTCCTATGGGTTTTCCTATGGGTTTTCCTATGGGTTTTCCTATGGTTCTACCACTATACCAGTTGTGAATACCAGCGTCGCCAGGACCCCAAGTTGTGCCTCATTGGCTTCTGCGGTCGGCTCTGCTACCAGAAGGGCATCCATTTGATCCTGGAGCGGTGACAAGTCAAGCGGGGGGATAGCGTAACGCCAACAAAAAAGGGAGGAAATGATGGGTTTTGTAATTCGGGAGGTGGTGGTAAATATATTTACAGGTGGTGCCATTTTTTTTTAAGAATGAAATTAGGAGTACAAAAACACGGTAAAATACCGTACCTTCGTACCCCTCCGGATCCAGATTCCGCGCGGATTCGGATCCTGTTCTATAATTTTTTTTTCTGTTCTATAATTTCTGGCGCCTTGGAGGTTACTGACATATACTTGCATCATTTTATGTATCTTTCTGGGACCCCAGAAAAAAGTGACACAGAAACCAGAATTATAGAACGGTTTACGCAAAATTAATTATAGAACGGAAAACATAATTATAGAACGAAACTGGTAAATGTGGGAAAAAGGGGGAAAACACAATTATAGAACAAACCAAAATTAATATAGAACGACGAAAAAAATAGGAGTAAGTTAAGATAAGTTGTTTTTTTGGTACCTTCCGAGGAAAACAGAATTATGGAACAACAGGGTACGGTAAATAAGCGTACCTTCGTACTCCTCAGCTTCCGTTCTATAATTCTTGCACCGACCATAATAGTATGTAATAGAATGTAATAGAATGTAATAGTACGATATTTCATGATGATACAAGGCGAGAAAACTGACAACATTGAAATATTTTGGGTGTAGCCAAGTGGCATTCCCTGGCCATGTGCCATCTGCTCGGTGCCCCGTCGTTATGGTTGGTTATGGTTGTAGATTTACAGCCCCCAGCAAAAAATAATACCACATAGTTCCAGTCAATAACTGTAAGCTTTAGTTCATGTAAAGAGATGGGAAAACCATGGATTTCCTTGTGAGGTAACTTTGTTTGCTAAATCACCATACACACATATATATATATGTAATCATATAGTAATGATTATCCCTAATCATCCATGATAATAATAATATTAATCCCTACTTAATCATTATTAATGATATAAACCATATAGATCCATAATATATCCATAATCACCATATATAAACATCCATAATCCCTCCAGTTAAGGCCCTGAAAATATACCAGTTACAAGTCGGTGCACCGCGGAGCGCAGGAATGCCTACCGTGGCTCATGAGGAATGAGGCGGCCAGTGGGGTTGATTATAAGTTACATTATCTTAGAAGCACATATATATATATATAATATTTTTTTTATAATTTATAATGTTATGTATAGTTATATAAGCACTATGTACATATATATATATATGTTTATAGTGTTAGATATATAGGTAATTGTATACATCATATTTTATAGTTATATATAGTATATGCATATAATACATACTATATATATGTGTATATATATATATAGTATGATAGGCTACGCTGGCTTCACATCAGCCCAGGGCAATGGGGTGAACGGCTTCGTTCAAGTGGCGTCCGGATCCTGGTGTCGTCGAAGAGGTTTCAACGGTTTCAGCGGTAAACACATTCAAAAACCATGAAAGATATGATATACATGGAGCTAGTGATGAATGTATGATTACAATAAGATTACTGTAGAAATATTCCATGATTACTATTAAAAAATACTATATGGTAATATGATGGAGGTAGAAATGGGGTAGTACTATACAGTAATGAGAGTAATATGGTTAATGAGTATTATATGATTACTTGATATGTATCTGGATATTTGACATAGAGATATAGTGAAACCAACGGCCCCAGTCATCACCATTTTTATAGGTGGTATGTTTACCATTCCCAGTCATGGGTGGTTTATTTTCTATTGTTTTACCCACATGAAATAGAGATAGAAATGCTGTGATATCATCAATGGAGAAATGCTGGGATATCATTTGATCTACTGTATGAACAATTTAGGTCTTCATCAGTACTGTCTTGACTATGTTAAAATCATGTATAGTACTGAACTGAATGTTCAGTAAATAGTATGTTAAATACTATGTTAAAATTATGGGGGAATCTTCGTCTGATGCTCAAGAGATATCGGCGCTGCTTTTGCGGGGATGGTTTGTTTCGTCCTAAGGATGATGGGCAAAGGCGAATTGAAGTATGAAAGAGAGCTGAGGAAAGCCGAGGAGACGACGCAGCCGGAGCGTTGATTTCTTGAGTAACTGTAAAGAAAATAACTGCATTATATGTACATACATACATGCATATATATATATATATATTATGTGTATATATATATATTATATACAAATGAATAAAGTATATACACACATATATGTATGTATATATATATATGCATATGTAAATATTTGTATGTATACATGTATATGTATATTTATTATATATTGTTTATAGTATATGTATATATAATATTTTTTGATTGTATATATATATATATACATATGTAAATAAATATGAATATATTTATATATTAATTATATTCTAATTATTGCAATCTACAAGCACATGGCATTAAACACAAATATTCACTATAATCTACAGACGGAACTACGGAATAGCATGCTAGTTGGAATACAAACTATCAACATGTCACCATGTCCAGACAAACATGACTGATAACAACTATCAAAATATTTAATGCATAAACAGCTGAGAATAAGGTTGACTTAGCTGATAATATACTACTTCGTAGTCATGCACCCTCCGGTGGTCAAATGTGGCTGGATGATTCACCATTCAGTTCGATTAGTTTCCCAGCTCTAAACCTCCATTTATAGATGATTTTCCCATCAATAAACTTCCAGTTACATATGATTTCCCAGCTATAAACCTCTATTTCTATGGGGTTTCCCATATTTTCCTATGATTTGCCAGGAGCAATATCCTGGACGTGTTTGCGCGTTCGTCGGGGAGCCTAGGCTAGGGGTACTGTAAATGTTAAACGTTGGTGGAATAGCCATGGGGGAAAACGGAAAATCATCTAGAAATGGCGGATTTTCCATATCTATGTTAGTTGACCTCAGGGTATAAGTCAGTTATAATTCCATTTATGGTTCATGATAACCCCGCTTATGAAGAATTGTAGCTAGTAAAGGGCCATTGTAGAGCCTCCGTTCGTACCCATGAAAATTTACAAGTACTAAAATCATGGGTGCAAAAATGCTAGTTTTTGATGGATACAAATGGAGGGTCTAAGTACCAATTTTATTCTCCATATTGGTGACATATATCTGGATGAACTGTAGTGACCTCACGTCGTGACGTCACTGGAATGATGCCTGATAAGATTGGAGGGAATCATGCCCGGTTTCAACTCAGGTTAGCAAGTTGTAATTTTTACCCATGATATCCAAGTTTGATACCCTGCGGTAGTCAAGCATGCGAATTGGAACCCCCTTGCAAATGGAGGTTTTAATGAGAAAAACACATCTATAAATGGTGATTTCCAGCAAAGCATGTTTCATGACCGAAGGGTGTTCTCCAAGATACCGATTTTTACGAATATTGTATGTCACCATTGTAAATCACCACTGGTTGGTGGTTTGGAACATGAATTTTATGACTTTCCTTATATTGGGAATGTCATCATCACAACTGACTTGCACTCCATCATTTTTCAGAGGGGTAGGTCAACAACCAACCAGTATATATATATTAAAATCGTGATATTCTATATGATTGGTGATTTCTCCCCCTATAATCTATGGTGATATCTGTCACCATTGTAAATCACCAATTCCAACGATCCGCCGGTGGCCGATTCCGATTCGACACAGGTCGGGTTTGATCCGATCATCGAGCATCGCATGATGGCGGGCTGCGATATCTTGCTGATGCCCTCGCAGTGCTCCATGATATGTTGATGAATGTGGTACGTTTTTCGGGATTTTATCGGGTTTTTATAGGGATGACCATGGATAACCAAGAATTTTCATGATACCCTCCAGTAATCAAACATGGCGCAAAAGAGCATCCTTTATGTAAATGGAGGATTTTTTTGGGTGGGAGACTCATCAAACTAATTGGACGATTTTCTAGCAAGCCATGTGTGATTGACTCCCAGAGGGTAGGTGGTTCACAATACATATATACTTATATAATTTACATGTATATATATATATATATATTGTGGTGTTAATTAAATGCCACAATATCCCATTTATAAGCGGTTAAACTAGCCATGGTAGCCAGTCACCAACTTGAATAAATCGATGATTAAAACATAGTCCACTTACAGTAACTCAGTTCACAACTCATTGAACCAGCCACATATGTCTGAAGATTATGCAAGTAGAAGAGCCAGTTTCCAATTTGGAGTATATGGGATCTATATGGAAATATAGGTTTATAGTCATAGTCGTTATCTCCCTAGAAAGATAGAACAAGCTTATCCAAACACTCACACTGCAGTTTAGATGCGGATGTTGTCAACTTCTATCCTTTTTTGTGTTGTGAAAGGTATGAATGGTGTTACCCTCTGGTTATTTAACACTTCGCGTAGTTCCACATGACCCATAGGCCCATAGATGGGGATTGTCAAGCCACGTTTGATGACCGGATGGTAACTTCTATCCCCATGAAAAATCCTCTATGAAAGAGTGGTATAAACATAACCTCTATAAAGAGTGATGGTAACTTCTATTATATCCCCATATTCTCATTGATTAGTCTAAGATGGTTAAATCCATTTATAAATCCATCTACCAGTACCGCACAAGGCGGTGGCGGAAGTTTCAATGATAGGAAACTATAGGAGAGGTGAGTTGTTGTGATGCATGGATGGCAGAGCGAATCTATTGATGGACCGAAAGGTGGTTGTGATTTTTGCAGTGGTTGCAGACCTCACTGCAGGATGTAGTGTGGTGGTGTGTGGTGTAGCGAAGTGCAATGTAAGTGTAGTTGTAGCTGTAGCTGTAGTTGTAGTTGAAGTCTAGTCTAGTGTAGTGGTAGCTGTAGTTGTAGTTGTAATGTAGTTGTAGTTGTAGTGTAGCTGTAGTGCAGTTAAAGCTGTAGTTGTAGTTGTAGTGTAGCTGAAGTGTAGTTGAAGTTGAATTTGAAGTTGTAGTGGAAGTATAGTTGAAGTTGTAGTTGTGTAGTAGTAGTAGTAGTAGTAGTAGTAGTAGTAGTAGTAGTAGTAGTAGTAGTAGTAGTAGTAGTAGTAGTAGTAGTACTAGTAGTACTAGTAGTAGTAGTAGTAGTAGTAGTAGTAGTCGTTGTAGTCGTTGTAGTCGTTGTAGTTGTAGTTGTAGTTGTTGTAGTTGTTGTAGTTGTTGTAGTTGTTGTAGTTGTAGTAGTAGTAGTAGTTGTAGTTGTTGTAGTTGTTGTAGTTGTTGTAGTTGTAGTAGTAGTAGTTGTTGTTGTTGTTGTTGTTGTTGTTGTTGTAGCCGTAGTAGTTGTAGCTGTAGCTGTCGTTGGAGTTGTTTTTGTATAGTGTAGTGTAATGAGTGTAGTGTAGTGAGTGTAGCGTAGTGTTGTGTAATGTAGTGTGGCTGTCGTGTAGTGGAGTTGTAGTTGTAGTTGAAGTCTAGCGTAGTGTAGTGTAATATAGTTTGTGTAGTGTAGTCTAATGTAGTGTAGTGTACTGTAATTAGTGTAGTGTGGTGTAATTAGTGTAGTGTAGTGTAATTAGTGTACTGTAGCGTTGTATATGTGTTTTTGCATTTGTAGTTGTAGTGGTAGTGTGGTTGTAGTTGCAGTTGTAGCTGTCTAGCTATCTATCTAGCTATCCATCCATCTATCTATCTATCTGTCTTTATGCAAGTTTGAAAACGAAGCAAGTCTGCGAGACTTTCTCATTTTTTGAACTTGATAACGTCAAAATCGCAGCAATTCTGCGAGACTTCCCTCAATTTTCGAACTTGATAACGTCAAAAACAAAAGAATTCTGCGAGACTTCCTTCCAGAATAGATAGTTGAATGCAGAGGGCCTCGTACCAACGCGTTTTGCGATTTTTCCACTCCATCTGTCTAACGTTCTGCGCCTGCCACGAAAAAGTGATGCCAAGTCATACAAAGTGCTGCACCTGTCACGCAAAATCATCTTCGCAAACCTGAAGATCTGATGCTCCAAAATGCAACCCGTCTCAGAAAATCAGCGGCCTGACCTCCTAACATCTCTGATGAACATGTCTCTTGTACTGCGCCTGCCACGTTCAATCCATCTTTGCAGATCCGCTTCACATGTCCCACGCGTGCCATCTTTTTTGGTACATTCCGACTTCGAAATGTGCTTCGCGCCACAGCGGCGTACACTTCTTGAACATCGCAACTTCCAAAAGTGCTCTGAACGTGGTGTGCTTTGTACATTTTGACTTCCAAATGTGCTTCGTGCCACAACGGCGTGCACTTTTTCCACATCACAACTGCCAAAAGTGCTCCCGACGTGCGGTATTTTTAACTTGTTCACTTCCAAATGTGCTTCGCGCCACAACGGCGTGCAATTTTTCATCTCTCATTTGGCCAGATGGCTCCGCACCCGCCGCTTTAGCGAGCCTACTTTTCGACCCTTCGGACCCACAAATCATTAGAAAAACGCAGTGAATCGCGACTTACCTACCTTTTCGCGCACCTGCATCTTCTTTCTTCTGACTCTTTCTTTCTCTTCTCTGATCTTCTTTCTTCTTCTCTTCTCTTCTCTTCTTTGGCTCTTCCCACCTCTGCTTTTTCATTTGTCCATTTTGTCGGAAGTTTGGCTTCTATTCGAACATCTATAGTATAAATACCAGAATAGTTAGATCTTGGGTAGAGAGAGTTAAACCCCATTCTTATCATTTTTTAGCTGATGGTTAAATCCCAACAACAACCCATCTAATTCCCAGTGTTCGTGAAATCCGAGTAATGTTATAAATACCAAAGATGGTTAAATCTTAGTTAAAGATGGTTAAACCCCATTATATATGATTATCCCATCCCATTAAACTCCATTAAATCCCAGCAATGTTCCATCGTTGTTCCGGCTCTTTGTCTTTTACCAGGTACGAACCCTGCGGCCTTCCGCAGATGTATGCGCAGCAGCCGCCTGGATGAGTTTTAAGCGACCAAACTTGGAGGAAAATCCCATGTAAACAAAATTTGTTGCTTAAAATGGGATTAGAAATTACACCAACATCAAAATTCACATGTTTGGAATTCATGTTTTTTTTTTCGCACGTTTGATGTGATTTAATGAGATTCAATGCGATGTTAGTGGGATATGTTTGGGGATAAATGATGAAGTGTGACACCGACACCATCCGACACCTTTGTGGGGCCGACCTGGGGTAAATATCAATCATTGAAACTACTGTACGTCATCATCCACGTATGGTGGTACCCGAATTCGGACTAAGCTTACTATTTCACTGTTGGGTTTATGGTGATGACATGATGTGAATGGGATAACATAAACCAACTTCTATAGGTAGGGGGCACCACCTTGCATGTGTGGATTTGTATGGTAGATTTGCCTTCATTTACCCAAATATTACTCAAATGTTGGTGACTATACCTTGTATTGCATGGAATTGTAGGTTTCCGTAAATCATGCATGGGTACCTTTAGTAGACTTGAATATCTTGCTATGAAGGGATGCGCTCCCCGAGCTATGGACGATTACCAATTTGCAGACGGGTTCCCTATCAATTAAACATTGCCAGTTTCGATGAGTTTCTATGTCTATGTTAGATTTCCAGAGGGTATATTACCCTAACCATTGAGCAAAACATAATTGCTTGTCCATGGTATCTAAGATTGAGATTGACCATGTAGGACGCAGTTTCACCATGGTGGGTTAATTTCCTATGATAGGATACCTAGTCACAAATACGGAGAAATCAAAAGACACACCAACCATGCAGCTAGAGATCCTTGTCTTGCAGGGTAGCTGGGACTAGCCATTTGTTTGTTTCTAAGTACGTCAGTTATTTGGGGTTTTCCTAAACTAGGGGGTACCCCTAAATCATCAATTTTAATAAGATTTTCCAAAAAAAAACATCATTTGCAAAATATAATAAATTCTAGTTTTTGTTTTCCCATAGAATAGCTGGTAAGAATTTTAAGGAATATGTATTGGTATCAATAAATATTTCAATTTTGGTTGGAATATTATTTGTATTGCCATCATTCACTCTTCATATTCCGACCAAACATGTGTGTTCATTGGGCGAATCCCCTTGAGTGTTCGTCGATGTTGGGTAGACTAAAATCACAGTATTTGTTTGAAAATCAAACACTAACACCCCAAAATCCACTGGTTCATCATCATGTTCCTGTTAAAGTATGTTAAAATGGTCATGTTTATGTAATTTTGGTGTATAGCTCCATTTTAAGACACACCCGTTTTGAGAGATTTACCCAAAAACCTCCAAAAACCATCCAGTGATTCAACTGAAACCAACCAACCCTGACCTGCGACCCGTTGAGGTATGCAACTCTGCCTGTGGTCCATGAAACTGGGGGATTGAAGGACTGAGATTTAGCGACTGAAGCACCAGAAATGTCGATGTATTCTGGGTATGATTGGCAAGTATCAGAATCGTTGACCTGGGAATAGGAATCCCTATTCATCAACCATGGCTTGCGGTGCTTTAAAGGGTCAATTGCTCATTGCTCATTGCTGGATACCCAAGTCAGGCTGATAATTTCTGGTGTCATCGATCTTTGGGAATCCAGAAATTACCCTCTGGTTATGTCAACATAGTTATTGAACATGACCATAGAAATAGTGGATTTTCCCATTGAAAATTGTGATTTTCCATAGTTGTGTTAGTTTACCAGAGGGTAAGCCTCGCCCAAACAGATCTAGATGTTGCATGGTTTACAAAAACACAAAAAACAACGTGGGGGGCTTAGCAGCGTAACTCAGTCATATGTGGAATGTTATACTGGTTGGTGGTTTGGAACATTTTTATTTTTCCATATATTGGGAATGTCATCATCCCAACTGACGAGCATATTTTTCAGAGGGGTAGGTCAACCACCAGCCAGTATACCTATACATGGCTTGTGATGAACAACTCAGGAATCCAAGGATGCACCCCCAATCTGATTGATGTCAGTTACATCCCACTGACATTCCCCAACTATATCCCCACAAAAATGCTTCGTGAACTACCCCTTTTATATCCTCCATTAATCTCATTACACCACCACATACTTCGGGTTGTATCCAAATTAGTAAGTGGATAATATATATATATATATTTATATGTATTATAGTATATAATAAATATATTATTTTATATTTATATATATATATACCTATGATTACCTCTATATGACTATATGCACCATTTACACGTTTGCAATATCCCTAGTCAGATGAATGTTATATGGATCAATGCTATTAATTATATTGATTTATACAGTCATATATGTAATATACCTAAAATACCAGAATATTACCCATCCCCAGTCAATGATTGGAGGTTACTGTATGGAGGTTTCCTCGAATAGGGGTAGGCCCCAATTCTCCATTTATAGATGGATTCATGAAATCAGCCATCCAGCTATTCGGGCACCAGCATTTACGGAAACCTCCATTTATGGAAACCTCCATTTTATGGATCAATGCTATTATTATACACTTACATATATATATATACAGTCATATACGTAATTTACCTAATATATCCATCTCCAGTTGTTGATCAAAGATGGTCATGTTGAACAACATCAATGGTAATATATATATATATATATATATCCATCTATCAACCATCAATATATCCTGATTGAAGCTTACGTCATAGATTCATGTTGGCTTCGTTTAAAACACCTATCGATTCATATTGTGAGGACTCGGTCCGGGGCTTGTGGAACGACCAGGAGAGACATGTCGTGTCTTGGTACGGAGGGGGCTCCGGCGAGATGGCGGAGGGAGGCAACCCCCAAAGCAGCCGGAAAACAACTTTGTATATTATAGCATATTATACCTAAGATAATCATAGTTGGTATACTCAAATAATCATAGTTGGTATACTCAAATAACGGTAGAATATACAAAAATTGATGATAGAGCTGAAATAATTTGGTATATTGTACTTTTGTCTATCAATTTTTGGGTGTTGCTATACCCACAAAATAATACGTGTTTAACCCAAAGGATACGGGTAGGAAATTATATCTTATTTGGTTGGTGGTTTGGATCAATTTTTATTTCTCCATATATTGCGAACAATCATCCCAACTGACTAATATTCTTCAGAGGGGTAGGTCAACCACCAACCAGCTATGTATAGTTAACTCCCGTTGTAACTTTTCCGTGACCTTTTCAACCCCAACTTGTCGATCTCAGGCTACAGGTTTCCTTTTTGGTGGTTTTGACACCAACCGGTTGAAGGAGCGGCTGTACCAGGCGGAGATCGGAGGAGTGTTAGAGAATTGGTTTGTTTGTTTCCCTATGTTTTTATGGTTGGTGGTTTGGAACATGTTTTTATGACTTTCCATATATTGGGAATGTCATAATACCAACTGACGAACTCCATCATTTTCCAGAGGGATTGAAACCACCCACCAACCAGCATATATATATATATTTTTTTTAATAGTGATATTCTATATGATTGGTGATTTCTCCCATAATCTATATTGGTTATTTTAGAATGATGATTTTCAGTAATTCAAGTGATTTGAGCATTGACTTTTTCAGTGCTGGATAAGGGGCCCCAGTGCCCCATCAGGTACGATCCCACATGGGGATATAGGTCAAAGATGTTTAGATCGGGACCAGCCGTGTGGGACCCGCATGGTTTAGGATATGAAGAGTTAAATTAACATGTTCTAATTTAATTAATAGATCCCATATATATATATATATATATAGTAAGATGGAGGATAACTGGAACTAATGGAATTTAATGTAGTTATTCACACACACATATATATATATATATATATCCCAGTTATTTAATGAACCGCGTTTCGGAGTCCATTCCCATGCCGTACGTACACCATCCCTGCCAAGCCACGCTCGGTGTTCAGGCCATGGATACTTTCCGGCACAAAAAGGCCCTGTGGGGACAGATGCAAATGAATGCCATAAAATGTCACCTGGCGATTAGTGGTGGATTGGTTACGTTTTTTGGCTATTGTCATCATTCTATTAAAAAACATTGTTGACAATTATTGATTATCAATTAATGATCATACTGGTTATTGGGGAATACACTGGGATACAATGGGAATACAATGCCAATCCAATGACAATGTGCAAATGAATGTCATCCAATGATAGCTTATTAATTATAAACCATAGATATGGGAATATAATGGACTATAGTGAGGATAGAATTAGGATATAAGGTGTAAACCTGGCAATCCAATGAGACAATCCTGGCTGTCACCTGGGAGATCTGGGAGATGGGAAGATGATCACCCGGCGATCCAGCGGATTTCCGGAACTGTGGATGGGCCAGCAAAATCCTGCACCACCAATTTTGGATGGTTGACATCCTAGGCTTTTTGTGGGAACTGTCATTCCTTTGGTGTCATCAAACGCTGGGAAAGGTGCCAGACACCGAGGATTTTATGGGACATTGATTGAACTATGTGGTGGATTTTCCATTGCCAGGTTTGATTACCAGATGGTAGAGTGAATGGTTGAAATTTTCATAGGCAAAATAGCCGCCTTGAGGAAATGGCCTTGAGGAAATGCAAAATTTTGAGTAATTTTTTTTTTACCTCAAAACCAGTCAAAAGGCTTCAAACATGCTCATGCAGCACTCGAGCACCACTTAAACCAAACCAAAATTGACATATTTTTCTCGGCCATTTTTTGAGATAAATTGAGGGGCCATTTTCGGATGTTGAAATCTCAAAATATTTCGCACGCTCTCTGTGCACACTTTAGCTGGCTCAGAACAGCTCGCTGGGATGAAAAAAGTGGCTGATGGAGATGTCCAAAACTTGATGCCAACACATTACCAAATAGCCAACAACCAAAAAGAAAAAAAACTCAAAATGGTTCAAAAAAAACAAACTGTCTCAATTGCAAATTTTAGTTGTTAATTGACCAGTTGCTCAAATGGCCTCAATTGCAACCAAATGGAACCAAACTAATTCAATGGCTTTTTCTCCGGTCCAAGGATTTGTTCACTCAGAGCTGCTCAAAATGTACTCAAATGCTCTCACATAATGGGGGACTAGTGTCACTTAGAAGCTCTTACTCTGACTCAATCTCACTCAAATGCTCTCACAGAATGGGTGGGGGGAACAAACAACCAAACAACACAACCAAAATCAGCCAAACATACTTCACCAAGTTCTTTTTCCCGAGCCATGTCGTTGCTCGGGAATTGAAATAAAGGGGCCCCGGATTCTACTGCAACTGCTGTATATCAACAAAATAAACACAGTTTTTGTTGGGGGTGGGGTTTCTCAAATCACCTCAATTTCTTTCGAAGTGCTGTTTCAGTGTTATTTTTTGGGCAGCATAAATTACCTCAACTTCTTTCGAAGTCACTCGATTTTACTCATTTACATTTTTAGCAGCACAGAATGCAATAATCTCAAAGAGGCTCAATGGAAGCTCTAACAGTCTCAGGGGGAACTCAAATGGACTCAAATAGATTATTTAACCACCAACATTATGATAACACTGTTTACCCCGAAAATGTACTCATATTGACTCTCAGACAACTTATTTAATGTCAAATTCCAAGATTTTGAACTCGACGTTTCCTAGCGGCCATTTGGTACCATAGGGTCATTTGCCTATGAAATTTCGTTGTGACATGTTGGGACGGAGATTTGGATAGGAACGATGAACTACTGGGGCTTCACTACTCCAAATTGAGAGAAATTGATACCCCAGGAATTCTCTGAAATCTCAATGATGATCCAACAGTGGTTAGGTGGGAAACCCCAACTGGGCGGTGAATCGAGTTGTGAAGCCCTGAAATTTGAGCAGCTCCGGGTTCCTACGGAGCGGTTGATGATTGAGCATATTGGATTGTGAGAGGAGCTGAAGGTTGAAATTCTGGCTTTGGGGTTGGCAAATTTCTTGGCAGATCTTTAAGTTGCTTGAGCCAGACTGTTAACAACCACCGAGCAGGAAAAATGAGCTGATTGTTTTTTTTGCCCAGCTTTCTGGGACACATTGGAGCCAGCATTTTAGGACACATTTGAGGTTTTGTGAAGTATATAAGTATGACAATAAATCGTATGATACATGGGGTTGTCCAAGAATGTGTGATAGCCAAACCTAAATAAGAAAAACCAAGTTGATGAAGGAAAACTACAAACCAATGGGATTTTTGCGGGTAGCCTATGTTCAGAAAATCCAGATAACATTCAGATGATATGATGATATCTACAAGGATCTGGATAACAAGCTTGGATGTATAACTGTATAATTCACAATAGATCCTCACAATATGTGTCCTGAACTCACGAGAACTCGATTTTGGGGTAACCTATGTCGCCCTATAGCTAAGTTGTTTTTTAAAAACTAGTGATGGTGATTACAACTCTGGTTATAACATCTTACCCGTAGAACTTTGGTAAACATACAAAAAACTATGGAAAATCACAATTTTTAATGGGAAAACTCACTATTTCTATGGCCATTTCAATAGCTATGTTGACATAACCAGAGGGTAAACCTCCATTTTCCTATGGTTTTCCCATGGTTTTCCTATGCTTTTCCTATGGTTTTCCTATGGATCCAACGTTTACCAGGCCGGGTATAACCTCCGGTGTGACATGTGGCTGGGAACATCTCCGGCCCCTGTGCTGAGGTAATTACTACTGGCCCCAGGCGATTGATGAATATGTCTCTTGACAAAATGTGGGCAGAAAACCCCTTGAGATCTGGGAAAACTGGGTGGCCAAAAACTGCCGGGTGAAAACATTGCAAACATTGCAAATGGCTGGGTGTTTTGGATGTTGTTTTAAAAATATGTGCCAAACATGGTGAACATTTCATGTTGATAACTGGCAAAATGTCAAAGGCAAAATGTCTCTTCGCCCAAATGGCAGTGTGATGTTTCAATGACATGGGCATTTTTCTGTGCCGTTTGGGCCATTAAACAAATCAGGGCAGAAAAAAAAAAAACATCCTTTCTAGCTGGCGCTGACCGTCCCGATGTGTTATACTGATATTATGACCATATACATTTGGTCATAATATCAGTGTTGTGTTGTTAGAATCCTTGGTTTTGCTATCATGTGGTACAAAAAATAAACCGTCCAATTGTTATTATTGGCTTTATTGGGTGATATTGGGTGTACCACCTTACCTCATGTTCAATCATTTTGCATCATTCCCAAGTCTCATTGGATAAAAACCGTTGATTATAATATTGTTTGCCTCAAATTCACATTCTGAAGTTGGATTGCGTTGCTGCAAATCCCAGTCTTCGGATAGAATCCCCAAGTTCAGATGGCTTCAAGGCCCCATGTTTCTTTGATATTTAAATCTGGTTGGTGGTTTGGAACATGGCTGATGCATCATCGCCTGACCATTTCAGGCCAATAACCATTTTCAGTTTGGCATACAGAATTTGGTCCAGCCTTCAAGCCCGATACCTGCTGAACGTCGCTGACACATGGGCTCACCCAGGTGTTTACGGAAGCCGCAGAAAATTGCAAGCAGCCCACCTTTGGTCTAAGTTGAATCAAGAGATTGAAACAGCATATGCCACAGGTGCACCTTTGGCTGGATTGTCGGCGGACTTGACCAAATGTTTCAACACAATCCCACGATGGCCAACTTTGGTGATTGCTATTTTGGCGGGCACTCCAGATTCTGTCACAACTGCTTGGGCAGGAGCCCTGCAGAGCATGGTTAGACATTTCAAGGTGCGAGATTCCTTTTCCTCAGGCTTTCCGACGTCCACTGGATTGGCAGAGGGTTGCGGGCTTTCAGTTTTTGGAATGTTACTGCTTGACCATGTTTTCCACGTTTGGATCCAACAGCAATCCCCGTCCATAACCAGTGTTTCTTTTGTGGATGACTGGCAGCTGATCACACGAAAGCCTGACTGGGCTTGCAAACAGCTGGATGTGGTTCTTGCCTTTGCCGACATGGTAGATTTAACAGTTGATGTGTCCAAAACGTTTGCATGGGCGACTGACGCTCCTACCCGTGCTGCCCTCAGAGCCACAGGCATTCGCGTAGAGCACCATGCTAGACAGCTTGGTGGCCACATGGGCATTAGTCGCCAGTACACCAATGCCACTTTAAAAAACCGCATGCTTGCGCTGGATGATTTCTGGACCAAACTCCGCAGAAGTAAATGTGGTTTTGCCGGCAAGGCACATGCAATCAGAATGGTGGCTTGGCCTCGAGGCCTCCATGCGGTGTCAAGTGCCCCTGTTGGTGCAAGTGTCTGGACAGAACTTCGTAGGAGAGTGAAAGCATCGCTGCATTTTGACAAGGCAGGGGTTAACTCTCATCTCCTTGGCTTAACTGAACATGGACTTGATCCTCAGTTTTGCGCGGTTGTGCAGACGTTGAAAGACATCCGGATGTTTCAGCCGGTTGACTTTTGGGCCACCGTTGTTTATCCGTGTGCGGAGGGCATTGTAGATTTGCCGCCCAACGCCCCTGCTCAAATTGTGCTCACAAGAATCCAACAGCTTGGCTTCACGGTGTTGGCTGATGGACGCCTTCATGATCACTTTGGGGCTTTTTGTCCGTCTACCGTGTCTTTTGCAGAACTTATCTTGAGACTGCAATGTGCTTGGGTACGTGTGGTTGCTGCCTCTGTCTCCCACCGTGGTGAATTTCAAGGCTTTGCCCAGGTTGATGTTTTGTCTACCCGTCGTGGGCTAGCTGCCCTTGCTGTGTCCGAACGGTCCTTATACCGTCTATGCCTGTCCGGTGGTTTTGTCACTGAGGACACCAAAGCCAAATGGAATGAGCAGCCGGATACATGCAAGTGGTGCCAACAACCCGATTCCCTTCGTCACCGGATTTGGGAATGCCCGAGATATGCCCACTTGCGACACACACTTGCCCCTGATGCCATGCGGTGCCTATCCAAGCTCCCTAATGCACTTGCCTTGCGAGGGTGGGCCATGCTGCCACCCACGTGGACTAATTGGATGCAGTTGCTGCAGTCGATCCCCACAGATGTGCCCCCAGCCGCCATTGCCTTTCAGACTGACAGATGGAATGATGTGTTTACCGATGGCTCATGCCTGTGGCAATCCCGTCCACAGTATCGTCTTGCAGCCTGGTCAGCAGTCCTTGCGTCACCGTGTAGTGCTTGTTGGTCTGGTGTCTCGTCAGGTGTTTTGGGGTCGTCCGTCTTACCTGGAGTTTGCCAGACGGCCTTTAGGGCAGAACTGTATGCAGTTGCGTGTGTCCTTGACTGGGCCGCCCGCGCTCATGTCAAAATCAGGTTGTGGCTTGACTGCTTGGGGGTGTTAAATAAGCTTGCCTTGATGAAGCTTGGAGGTTGGATTGTTGGCCCCAACCAGCCTCATTCTGACCTCTGGTTTTGGCTTGAAGTTTCTCTTGCCGAGCTTGGTCCTGATAATTTGCAACTGGTCAAAGTCCCTGCACACAGAAGTTATGCAAGTGCGGTCAACAGACGTGACTGGTGGATGATTTATCACAATGATGCAGCAGATCGAGCCGCCAAGATTGCAAACCAGAGTCGTTCTGAAACTTTTTGGCAGTTTTGGCGTCAGCATGTTCACAATGTGGTTGGAGCTGAACGTCTTTCAGCTCAAGTCAGAGATTTGCATGTTGCCATTGCGAGGCAGCAAGTCCTCACACCACAGCCACAGGTGCCGGAATTCCATGATGTTGGCCCTAAGGTCACCAGAGTCTTTGCGCAGGTTTTTGACAATTCAGCCTGGACCGGAGGTAGGTTACCCAAGTTGGCCATGCAGTACGGTGATGGACACGCCAGCCGCGCCATATGCTGGTGGACTCAGCGAACCCGAGAAGACACAGCATCCAAGGTAAGCTGGCTATCATTCACCCAACTTTTTGTGGATTTTAACTTATCCTTTGGTCAGCCAGGACCACTGAAAATCAACAAGCACTGGGTCGATGTGGCCAACAGGCCATATTTAGCACATGACCATATCAATCTACGTGTGAATCTGAGGTGGTTCAGACGTTTTATTCAGAACATGCTGAAAGAGGGAAACGTTCAAGTCCAATATGAACAGTGCAAACCAGACTCTAACGCCATCCAGGCGTACATACAGTGCGTGAGTGTGAGGTGGAGTGACTGGCACAAGGAACGAGTGGATGCTTGGCTCTTGGCCAATTTGGCTAAGCCGTGTACGAGGAATGCTTCGGCCTTGTTGTCACTTCCGGTCATCATGCAGGACCCAGGGATGCGGGTTGAGGTGACTCTCAAATGAGAGTGGTAGGCCTGAAGAGCAGTGCCTCGCTCCCCGAACTTGAGCAGGCGTTGACTTGGAAAAGCCGTGGGAAAAGCCGTGGTGGTTTGGAACATTTTTTATTGGGAATGTCATCATCCCAACTGACTATGTTTTTTCAGAGGGGTAGGTCAACCACCAACCTGAAATATGTTTAAGTTGCTTCAGAATCGTAAATTCCCCACAGTGGCCAGGAAAAGAATATCGACCAAGTTATGGAGGAGCGCCGGAGCGCCGTTTTCGAGTTGGCCTGGCGCCGCTGGGGAAACGAACCAATTCTAACTGCATTATTGTTTTGGGATGATATTGGCATTTTTGATTTTTTGTGTTGGGGTGATTTTGAAACTCCTGAGGTTTTTGATGTTCTACTTAGGGGATGATATTACCATGATATTGTGATTACTGTACTTGGGGGTATTATATAACGAATAATAACTAAGAAAGTGATGATATATGGGAATATAGCCAACAGAACTATGGGCTTCTGGGTGGTTTTCATAGAAGGTTTACTACCAAATGTTGGGATTACAACGAACTAACGTGACAACATGGTGATAGAATGGTGATTTGCCAACCATTATAAGTTGAGGCATGTAACCGTCAAAGTGGTGCCATTTTTCAATGGTGATTTCGCCTATAAGAAATTGAGGTTTAACATGGTTTAACTATAAACCAGGGGTGATAGTTGAATTATGTTACAGGGTGGGGCCCCCAGTTATGTTTGTTGATTTATAACCCCATCTAAATATTGTTTAGAAGCATACACTAATGTTTATTTAGTTATTTACCAACTTAGCTAACTATGGGCCCCCATCCTGTAGCTATGTCGGATTCTAACCTGATATAACCTGCATCACTGGGGATTTGTGGTATTTATGCGGGAACTAGCTAGTGGGATCGACAGTATATAAACCAACTCAAAACTGGGGAAGACACCGCATTGTTGGGATATAATCGGATGACTAAAAAGCTACAATGCTACTGTACAGGGAATGTAAGATGGGGAATTTAAGTCACCATGTATGTTTTGTTTTTTGTTTTTGAAGTGACGCCATGGGATATATATATATATTGGAAGTAAGCATAAGCAACATTCTATAGATTAATATGGCTTTTGAACCACAGATTTAGACCATCCATTTCGGGGGGCATTGGGACAATTCGAAAAGCTGCCATCATTTGGGAACTTGAACCATGATGTTTTTGTTACATCCCAATATAGAACTCATGGTGGAAAGTTCAGCCCTTCCAAACAATCGCCACCCATCGCAGGATGAGCCTTATCAGCGCTAAATTCGTGCATTCTATTTCTAATTTCTGCAATCTGGCGAAGCCAATGAGGTTGAAGTAGGCCCAGTAGGCCAAGTAGGCGTAGGCAATTTGCAGTTTTTTGGGCAGAAAATGCAACCCGTTGTTGTGGAGACATGTTTTCGCAAGGTGGGAATAATTCGCGTAAATCTAATGGACATTATGAAACTTATGAATCCGCGTTGAAATTTCCACTACGAAAAGCTAGGCCTTGGGGCCTGTACAAAACGCATATTCCATGCGAATTGTTTGTGACCCATGGTGTTGGGGACAACTATTTGTAGCAAAAGGTGCCCTTGTTGACCTTGGTGTTAAACCCCACCTTCTTTTTGTAGAAGGAGAATTTTGATGGTTTTGGATCGAGTTTGAGGGACCTCCCCCAGGTCGAGCACGCTATTTGTAGCAGACATTTTTTGTCACATTTTGACGTCGTGCCAGACTAAAGTGCAGCGACACGTCCTGTCAGACAAAAGCGTAGCAGATATCTGAAGATCTCATTGGTAGGTATTGCGCTTGGATTCAAAAACCGTGTCGAAATATTGCAGTTTGAAGGCCTTATTTTTTCTTATAAAAACAGTAATGTGCCTACAAATTGTCTTCACTGTAATTTAAACGGGGATACTTATGATATGTTACTGGATGGTTTTACTTTTTATGATTTTTTGAGCTTCTTGTCAATGAACAAGTTGAGATTCTTGGAAGTTGCCAACTGTTGGACCTCAGACCTCCGCCAGTTTTTGCTCAAAAATCCATTATTTTTTGATTTTTGTTTCAGAAGTTACCACCCATAAGACCGGGAATCCGATCCTCGGGGAACCTTCGCCGCTGATGCGAAGTGCATCCAAGCGACGCGAATCACTTTCATTCATGAAGTGGTTGGACCCGTTGGACTAGCACAGTACTCCACAAACAGCTGTGGCCAAACTTTTAATCTGTGCCGGCTGTGTCTCTTCCAGGTGGTGAAGCAAAACGTGAAATGTTGCTTTGTATCCCGATCTAATTATATAGTTATATAAATAAGTTAATAAGTTGTATATTTCATTATCACCCCATACCCCAATATAATATATTAGTGGGGTGGGTTCGTACACATGTTTTAGTTGTTGAACATATGGAGACATTCTGGAGTACAAATCGTGCGTAACTCGTGCGAATTTTACAGTCCATGTCCCGCCGTTCGCATACAGTCAAAGCATCTGTATGGCATACACGACGGCATGGCTGACTCTCACCAGATAGCTGCACAGTTTTCCATTTTGAGTGCCAGCCATAGAATCTTCTGCAAGATCTCTAAAGATCACAGGAGAAAATCTGCTGAGAAAAGTCCACATCAGGCGACAAGTGCGCTACATTGATATCCTTCAGGTAGGCTCTACGCTTGATTCTCTTGGAATGGATAATTCCAACGCCACTTGTCTGCATGCAAAAATATATTTTCCTGTCCTAGCATTATATTCATGTGTAAATACCATATTGTCATTATATAATCATATGATGATTGATAAATAATGGGTATGGTTGGATACCATGGCTATGGTGAGATATTCATATACAACATATGTTCATTATTATGTATCTATCAATCTATCATGGGTAGGTTAGATATCTTTTTATACCCCTTTTTGGGACATTCCGGGCACTCCAATCCCATTTTTTTTGCCCTTGCCGCAAGGCTTGTGACCGAAACTTCCGCCGCGAAGCCTGGTGACAATGCCGCCAATTTGAAGTTCGCATTGATCGCTGGTTATAGGGAATGATTATACAGGATGGGGCCCCATGGTTAGCAAAGTTGGTTTATAACTATATATAACTATAATAACAACAGCGTATGATACTTATAACTATATTTAGATGGGGTTATAAACAAACTTACAACTGGGGGGGGCCATTCTGTAGGGGATTATACTACACAATATATTGGGAATTACCCTCTGGTCATTTGTCACGAAAGGTAGCTCCAGTGGTGCTACCTTGAGTTTAGCTTTACGAAGTAAAGGGTAGGCTGGCCAGCCCAGGTACAGAGAGTTGCTAAAGTCGTGCCTAGATTAGTGGGAATCATTGAAAATAGCCTGGGAGCACTTTATTTTCAAAAGTCGTGCCTTTTTGTGAATCGCGCATGATTTTGTGTTTTTTCATATTTGGATCTGTGATGTTATTTAATTCTTGCGTTCAGTTGGTGTTCAGCATGTTGTGCAAAGACTTCACATCTGAGTTACTTAAGACTTCGTCGTTGCATTTAGTCGGTGTTTTGATGTTGGGCAAAGATTTCACATCTGAGTTTTTACATGTTGCTGCACCTGATTATTCAGGCGATTGCTGTTCATTTGACGACCCCCCCCTCCCCCTGCGTAAATACCATTTTTTTTATAGGTGCTGTCCAAAAAACACGGTAAATACCTTTTTCTACCAGAGGCAAACAACATCGTAAATACCGTGGCTTTGGGCTTCCGAGGCGCAAAAAACATCGGTATTTCCGGTGTTCTTTGCTCCAAGACTTTCAAAAAAATGACGATGTTTTGGCCACTATGGGACTGAGAAAAAAGCTGCAGGGGTAACAAACACGACACCACCACCACCACCACCAACAACAAAAACAACAACAACAACAACAAAGAGCAGCAACAGCAACAGCAGCAACAACAACAACTACTACTACAAAAATATTAAGCTTTATGATCAAAGTGTTGCTCGCAGGACCTCAACCACAAAAAAATCCCGAAGATATACCAGATTGAATGCCAGAAAGAATTGCAGACAATGTATGAAATAAAATGCGAATGCCAGATAGCATGTCAGAAAATATGTCAAAAAAACGTCACTTGGTGGGGACCACTCGAAGAAAGTAATTTGTCCTGAAGGCTTTCAAAAATTGACTTAAGACAACCAAAATGACTTTGACTATCAAGGCAACAACAGGAAATTCAATTCAGTGCCCAATCGTTCCGCCAATGTCAGGCGATGGGTGACGACCTGTACGGCAGCCAAGTGCTGCTGCGAGAGCAGGCAGCAGTTTATGCCGAGGGATTATTCAGAGGACCGGCGAGTCGCGCTCATAGCATCACTGCATTGTCGAGGGACTCAGAGCACCATCACAGCACACTTATAGACTTATAGCATCACTGCTTGTCACTATCGCTGCAATCCAACCCAGCGACAGGCGACCATGGATAAGAACATCAACAAAGAAGAGCTTGGTCGCATGAAGCAGAAGGCCGGGGCCACTAAGCACAAAGCGGGTCCACAGAGCACACCGCGTTCACTCAGAAGTGTTCTCGTCGCTACGTGACTGAGGTGGATCGGGAAGCCTTCGACCTGCAACAGAGCAGCGGCATCTCGCACAAAGACGCCCTCTTCAAGGCAGGGCCTCGCAAACAGCTCCTTTGTACTGTGTGTGAGTGGCAGAGCATGGAAGCTTGGGCCCTCCCTGTTCCTCCCACGGCCAGGTCCTGAAGAACAAGCAGAAGGACAACTTACGGGCGAAGGCGACCGACAAGGACAGCAGAAAGCTGCAGGCAGTCCGGTTCAAGGTCAGGGAGGAAATGAGGCCGGGTCGTCTATCATTGTCAAGCAGCAAACCTTGACTGCATACTCCTATTGCCTGAATCCTTCACTGCTCTCAGCAGGCTCCACCGCTGCCTGCAATCATGACCGCGGGGACGCGACTTCGGGCTTTTTGGACAGCTACCAGTTCACCTCGTGTACAATTTCTCTTTCCAAGCTCATATCGTTCGTGTCGAAGACAACCTCTTGAAACAACATCTCTACATATATATATATATATACACACATACATACTATATACGTCGGAAGCCCCTGTGATGTATAGGCCAAAGCTGCATGCACAGAGCAGGCCTAAGGGTCACGTGATCCATCAAGGAGCGAGAGTAGCAGAGTGGCGTTGCACAGGCTACTGTAGCTTCACTTCCTCCTCCGGGAGCAATGTACCTCGACCGTCAGAGCGCCATCGATAAAAAAGCGCGGCCGCGCGCTGCCAAGAGGTTATGTAGGGCAGCGCGGATTGAAAAGAGTGCATGTAAAATGTACAGCTGCCCCCCGTGCTGTCAAAATGTAACTGTTAGTTCCCAGACGTGACAGGCTACAGAGTGCCAATTCTCAGCTGCTTCAAAACCGCAGTGTTCAGTGTATAAGAAGCAAACGTGTTCTATGATAAAAACCTACCGCGGCGTTTTGGCTTCAGCAACCCTTTCAAGCACATTGACTCGACGCGCCACTGCGCTCCGATCTGCCAACTGCAATGGGCAAGGACTACCAGAAGAAGGCAGGGCGCGAACCCGCGCAAGCCCTCCGGCATCCCCAAATACCAGCACTTTCCCAAGGCGTCGCTTGCGCCGTACCCGGACGAAGAAGGCAACGCCCCCTGGCTCGGCGACAACGAAAGCCTGCAGGAGCTCCTGTCGCCCAGCAACATCTTGGCGAGCCGCAGCCCCTGCGCGCATTATCGCCATCATCAACAACGGTATCGACATCAAACATTTGATCTTGGATTCTTAAGCCATTATCATGCCAAATGGTGTTTTCAAATCTTGTTGGTGTTTTCACATTGGTTTATATTTTAAAAAACCTTGTCCCATATACATCATACTTGTGTATACTACATTCCCACCATACTTCATCCTGCCTTGTGATGTCCAACTCTACCTGCCACAAATCATCCCCTCCTGCGCTTACTTTCCCTACCATACTTCATCATATCATCATACTGGGCCTGGTATTTTGTATGTTTTTGAAGGAACATCAAAGCCAGTATTATTTTGTATCTACAAATCATTATTAACACACATACCGTTTATGGATGCATGTTTTGCCAAATTCAATCGTAAAATTCAAAGAAAAAACTATGATTGTGGTAGTGGGTCAATGCAACGTGTCTACTCAGGCACCAGGGGGGGAGGGGAGGGGGGCAGGGCATCCCCAAAAAAACACCAAAAACAAACAGAATGGTAATGCAAGAATCCAGGAGCTTCTCAAACCTGTTTCAGTCATGGAAAATTGTCATACTTGACTCATTTAATTTTATGTTTTTATCCTGGAATCCAGGAGTTTCCACACTGTAGT